ACACACTCACTCACACACACACACACACACACTCACACACACACACACACACACTCTCTCACACACTCTCTCAAACACACATACACACAGGCCCTGTGTGTTACGCTGTGGACTGCCATCACTTTTCAGCGGGTGTGAAATGTGCTCAGTGGAGCTGAAACGTCTCAATACCCATCCGTCTGTCTGTCTGTCTACAGCAGTTCTGTACTCACTCACTCACTCACACACACACACTCTCACACACACACACACGCACACACACACTCACTCACTCACTCACTCACACACACACACACACACACTCTCTCACACACTCTCTCAAACACACATACACACAGGCCCTGTGTGTTACGCTGTGGAATGCCATCACTTTTCAGCGGGTGTGAAATGTGCTCAGTGGAGCTGAAACGTCTCAATACCCATCCGTCTGTCTGTCTGTCTACAGCAGTTCTGTCTCACTCTAATAAACACAGACACAGCTGTCTCACTGTATCACCTGCCTCACGCTAATATAAACTGTCTCACTGCATCAGCACCTGTCTCACGCTTCCAGGCGGAAAGACTAACTTTGATAATCATGTAGTGCTCCTAAACTCCACCCCTGCAAGCTCACGCTCACCTGAGAGCCACGCCCACATCTCAACAGCCAATCAACAACTGATGCAAAGAATCAGATCCCGCCCTACATTTGTTTCTTTTTCAATAATCTCTTTACTCAGATGTAATAATCAGACTCTACTAATGATGTGTTTCCAGTGTAATATGTGTATTTGATCAGTCTGATTCACATTTCTGCTCATTTCTTCAGAGTTTAATCCATCTATCATCTCTTAAGAAGAGCCATACAGAATAACCCGACATTTAGAAATAGTCATCAGAAAGTGTTATGCACAACACAACATGAAAATTAAAAGCTGATGAGTTTGTTTGCACTTACAGATGGATGCCGGATCATATTTTAGAGTTTGGTTCGTCTAATGATGCCCTGTATGTGAATGTGAGGTTCATGTTAGGACAGACTTCACTAAAACAAAGACAGATGCATAACCCAGATCATTCTGTTATTAGCTGCTGTACAGCCATCCGTGTGCAAATAAACCTGTGAATTCTTCAATGCATCATTTCTGCTGGAACAGTTTTGCACGTTTACTAAAGTGTTATTTTGATTGTTATTTGGATATCTATAAAGGCAGATGATGCACAGCTACAGAGGATCACCAAACCCCTTCATTAATGCATTCCTTCGGACTAATCGTTCTGAGGATGCTCAGTAAACTCAGTATCAGCCGGAAATACCGGAGAATCAACTGAAGCCAGGCCTCGCTGGATGAATTGATCAGCCGTTCCCGTCAGATTCGTCATATTTCACAGCTGTTCGGCTGATGTCGTATAAACTGCTGACTGGAGCACAAATCACCTCGTTCAGTTCAGTGAGGAAATTCAAAGCATTAGTAAAAACTATAAAGAAAATCGATATAGTTACACTTTTTTCTGTGAACAAGTTATTTTGTTTTTATGGATTTTAACATGATAAAACGCGTTAAACAGACAGATACTGCCAAAAATCTTAAATACTTTAAAAACTGCATAACAACCACAGTCCGTTCACTGGAAAACACGGGTGAAAATCACAAGCTACAGTCAGCATGTCTGAATTAAAGGACGAGTTTAGCCAAACATGACACTTAGCTGAAAAATGTCCTCGCCTTCAGGCAATCCAAGATCAGGATGAGTTTGTTTCTTCATCAGGTTTGGAGAAATGTAGCACTGCATCAGTGTCTCAGCAATGGATGCTCTGCAGTGAATGGGTGCCGTCAGAATGAGAGTCCAAACAGCTGATAAAAACATCACAATAATCCACAGCACTCCAGTCCATCAGTTAACATCTGGAGAAGACAAAAGCTGAGACACATCCAGCACTAAGAAGCTTTTAACTAAAATACCATAGAGTCCATAATCCATAATAACTCTTCCTCCAGTGAGTCAGTGTTCTGGTGTGAATCAGGAGAGAGATCTGCACAGATCAAGCAGCGTTTAAACAGCTCTAAACTAATATGTGTCTGGATTCTGATGTGAGAGACAACAGCAGATGCGCTTTTTCACTGGAGGAAGAGTTATTATGGATTATAGACTCAATGTTTTTTAGTTAAAAGCTTCTTAATGCTGGATTATTTTCAGCTTTTGTCTTGTTGTGATGTTTTTATCAGCTGTTTGGACTCTCATTCTGACGGCACCCATTCACTGCAGAGCAGCCATTGCTGAGACACTGATGCAATGCTACATTTCTACAAACCTGATGAAGAAACAAACACATCCTGATCTCAGAAGACCTGAGGGTGAGCACATTTTCAGCAAATGTTTATTCATCGAGTCAACCTTTCCTTTAATACGGTCGGAGTCAGACCCTCAACACAGCAAGCACTGGATCTGACCCGAACCAAACTAAATCAGAAACTCATTCATCCTGCCGTCTGCTGTCAGTCACACTGTGGCTCAAACCGGAAGTGCTTCTTGAAGCTCGTTTACATATGTGGACAGAACGTATGAATGCATGCAAAGATAAAATACGGAAGAATCTGAGTGCTCTGAGAAAGACAACAAAAGCCTCACACATGTACTCCGTATGACTTGCGCGCTTCACTCTTTAAAATAAGGCTCAGTGATGCCACAGTAGAACCATTTTTGGTTCACTAAACAACCTTTAAGCGATTCATTTTTTTCTTATAGTGTGAAGAACTTTTGAATCCTCTAAAGAACGCTTTTCCACTAAAACGAACCTTTAGTGCAATGGAAACGGATCTTTATGAAACCATCATGCATGGGAACTTTATGTTTAATATTCCAAGCCTTCTATAGATTTTCAGTGAATAATGGCTTACATTTGGATCTGTTTTTTACACAAAGCTATCGTATGACCTTAGCAGAAGCGCACAAGCCATACGCATGATGAACTATGAAGAGCTGCATGAATGTTCTCCAGAACTTCAGATGCGGTTCTTCTCGGAGCTCCTACCTTCCAGACAGCAGGTCCTCCACAGGCCAGAATGGGTCATCACCTCCTCGTTCTTCTTGCTGGTCTCGTTCTCGTTAGTAGTCTTTATTTTGCAGACCCCACGCGAGTAGAGCCAGTAGTCCGTCCCCACAGCGATGGTCATCAGGCTGAAGGCGGCGAAGGCACCCACCGTGGTCAGCAGCATCTGGACACTGCGCTCAAACACACCCATGTTGCCGCATTCCACGAAAGGGGAGCCCCCTTTCCTCTTGATGTATAGGAAATAAATATTTGTGGATTTAAGGGGACGAAAAATAAGAAGAAGCGGGGCGAGGGCCCTCGAGGGTTTGTGAACTGAAGGAGAAGGAAGACACACTTAAACACCAATGCAACTCATCAAGTGATGAACTCGACCCAGATAGCACATCTGATCTGGAAAGCATCTGCTGTGTACAAACATCTGTGAGATGTCAGTTTTACATACATTCTAACTCTAAAGACATCTCCTAGACGTCAAGTAGACGATGTGCATGTGCTGTCAGGGGAAAGCGACACACTGGCAAACGATAAACTCATCTTCACTCAATCTGGCCTGTTCTCGATCCGATCCAGCTGTCTACCGAGGGCACGAGGGAGAGACCGAAGGCTTCAGGTTTCCGAACCGCTGCCGGTCCAGCAGAGGAGCTCGCGCTCGCGCATCCTTCAATCTGATATTCCAAGAATGGATTCAAAAACAGTTCGGGGTGAAAATCATTCAGGGTTGCGACGCGTGAGTGAAATCAATCCATCCTGGCGATCATTAAAGAAAAAAGCGGATAGCCTATTAGAAAAAGAATAAAAGAATGAAACGTGAAATCACTCGCTTGCCTTTTTCCTAAAATTCTGGTCTCCAGTTTCCATAGGTGGCCTTTATCCGTCGAGTGCTTCGTGAATCCGGTCCGAAGAAGCGACGCTCCGCAGCAGCCCTGCTGTTCTCCCGTTCCCCGAGCCGCTCACATCACACCCGGTGCCCGTTTCGCAGCCCACCGGCGCCATCAAACACACACACACACACACACACACAGCGAAAAAAAAAACGAATCACGACGGATGAACAAAACCGTCTCACCGAACGGAATAGCGGCTGATTCTGTAATTTGGCGTCACTGTCCTCCAGAATTCCTGAAAGATGCGGATGCTATTCCTCCAGTCCAGATGCGTGACTGAGGAACATCTGGAGCTGAAGGCCCAGACAGTCTCATCTCAGTCTTTCAGACCTCAGATCTGCCACATCTGAGGTTTTATTTAGTGAAAACTAGCCTATGTGGTATTTGAGGGCGACTGCTGATATGTTGCAGTAGTGAGGATCACTGGAGGACTGATGGATGCTCTGCAGCTGGTGCTGAGGCTGGACGGATCCTGCTGTTACCAAGGCGACTGTCTCCCTCTTGCGATGGATTCAGCGTTAGAGATGCGAGAGCATAAACATTAACCTTCGTTTGCATGTCAGCAGCTGGACTGTAATCACTGCATTACTGCTCAGATCGTCTCAGTGAGGTCAGGATGAGAGAGAAGCAGGAGACACTCAGACAGATCAGCTTTATTAGCCGTCGGTGCTCCAGAGCAGAGCAGAGCAGAGGACACACTTTACATTCAGGACGCGACGAGCAGCAGCCAGTGCAGCACACAGAGCCAGAGATCAAGAAGATTTATGAATTTAGAATACAATGCAGTGACGTCACGCGAAAGCAGGCTCGCGATTGGCTGCGGCTCTGGCTGATGGTGCTGCAGTTGATGTGTCTGTGTTCCTCATGTCTCACATCACACACTCACACACACACACACACACACACACACACACAACACACACACACACACACACTCACACTCACACTCACACACACACACACACACACACACACACACACACACACCATCAACATCACTGCTATGGCACACGGCACTACACAAGCAGAAAAATGAAGGAGAAATATGGAAATCAAATTTGCATCGAATAAACTCACCTTTTTAATTTTTTATAAAATGCATTGACAAACATAAGAACATAAACCTAAAGTAAATAATGCAATAAAAGGTCAAAGTAAAGTTACTTAATTTCTGGGTTTCATATAGCAGCTAAAAATAATAATAAATAAAAAAAAGACAAATTTAAGTCTCTTGGATTGACCTACAGTGATGTTAATGTAATAACTTTTGTTAATATAATTAAATAATTTTTAAATGGCTAGAACTCATTTCTCAATACCCTCTTTATCAAAACCCTTCACACTATTCTTCTAACCAGTTTTCATCTTGGCACAGCAGTTATTTCACATCCAAAATGCACTAAAACTAGCAAAACCCTTCATACAGTCTCAGATCAGGTCATTCTTCATATCACTGACAGCCAAAAAACTCACAACAGTAACATTACATAATGTTTTCTTTTGTAAAATGTCTTTACAAAACAAGAATGAGACTTCGGGAGTGAGCTCAATCTTACAAAATCTCCATTTGTGGCCATGATGTCCTCATTTGTGAAAACATCAGATACAAATGCGATATAAAACCCAGTCAGTCTTCATTGAGGGGTAGATGACAGTATTTATAATTAGCTCCATATAAAAACAATAGAAGTCTATGGAATGTTACTATGTAGTAAATGAGTGAGTGAGTGTGTGTGTGAGTGTGCGTGTGTGTGTGTGTGTGTGAGAGTGTGTATGAGTGTGTGTGTGTGTGTGCGTGTGTGTGTGTGTGTGAGTGTGTGTGTGAGTGTGCGTGTGTGTGTGAGAGTGTGTATGTGTATGTGTGTGAGTGAGTGTGTGTGTGTGTGTGAGAGTGTGTGTGAGTGTGTGTGTGAGTGTATGTGTATGTGTGTGAGTGAGTGTGTGTGTGAGAGTGTGTATGTGTATGTGTGTGAGTGTGTGTGTGTGTGAGTGTGCATGTGTGTGAGTGAGTGAGTGTGTGTGTGAGTGTGCGTGTGTGTGTGTGTGTGAGAGTGTGTGTGAGTGTGTGTGTGTGTGTGTGAGTGTGTGTGTGTGTGAGTGTGCATGTGTGTGAGTGAGTGAGTGTGTGTGTGAGTGTGCGTGTGTGTGTGTGTGTGAGAGTGTGTGTGAGTGTGTGTGTGTGTGTGTGAGTGTGTGTGTGTGTGAGTGTGCATGTGTGTGAGTGAGTGAGTGTGTGTGTGAGTGTGCGTGTGTGTGAGTGAGTGTGTGTGTGAGTGTGCATGTGTGTGAGTGAGTGAGTGTGTGTGTGAGTGTGCGTGTGTGTGAGTGAGTGAGTGTGCGTGTGAGTGTGCGCGTGTGTGAGTCAAGTCAAGTCAAGTACCTTTATTTATATAGCACTTTTAACAATACAGATTGTGACAAAGCAACTGAACAGCATTAATTAGGAAAATAGTGTCAATAATGCAAAGTGACAATAGTAAACACTCATTTTTCAGTTAAAGACAGTTCA